TCATCATCAGCATCAGCATCATCATCAACATCATCATCGACAACATCATTGTCATCGTCAACATCATCAGCATCATCACTAGGTTCCTCTTATCACTCGTTGCCTTTGTCTCCTGGTACTCCCTCTCAACATCCTCCTACTCCTCCTGTCCCGGCATGCCATAGGATGCTACAGCTCATCTCATTCGCCATCAGGCCGTAGGCACTGAGTGGAGTGCCATCAAGTCCTTCGAGAATATCAACATTGAGCGTTATACAAAAAAATCCTTGAAGGGGCCCAGACCCGGAATCCCACCAGCCGTTGAGGTGAGCTAGGGTGTTGTGTCTTCCATCTGCCCCTCCTCTTTTTCGAAGATGGGTCTATCGTTTTTCCCTATCAATATACACTCCCTTCCCCAGGCGACCGGCAGCCAAGAGGGAACCATGCTCCCCCCACACCATCTCTGTCAAGAAACAATACCAAAGACACTCTGCCTCCAAATTCGGAGCATGCGGAACCATCCCGATGCGGCCCCCCCCACCACCCCTGTCAGAAAACAATACAAAGTACACTTTGTGGCAAAGTCCAAAATCCGCCGACCCCTTGGGGTCAGGGCGCCCCCGGGAGCCCGGTCTGGCCGGTTTGGAGGGGGGGGGGGGGGGGCGCACCCTTGGAGCCTCAGAGGGGCCCAAAACGGGCCAAGAGGAACCCTAAAGGCCCCCCGGACGGTCCAAGAGGGCTACGAGTCGCCGAAAGATCGCTCCAAGACGCCCAAGATTGCCTCAGACGGCCCCAGAGGCCCCCAAGACGCCCCAAGATTCCACCAAGAGGCGCCCCAACGGGCCCTACACATGCAAAAATCGTCCCATTCCCTGGGCAAAACGTATAATTGTAGCACATTCGCCTCTAGGGCTTTCACGAGGCCCACAACGGGCCAAGAAGCCTTTAAGCTCTACCCAAGATAGCCAAAGAGGCCCCCAAGAGGGCTCCAAGACGGCCCAGGAGGGCCCCAAGACGGCCCCAGAAGCTTCCAAAACGACCCAGGAGGGCCCCAGGACGGCCCCAACAGGAGGCCCAGAGGGGGAACCAACCACTCGGCCCCGAAAAAACCTGAGGAGGCGCCAATAAGCCCCCAAGAGGCTCCCACGAGGCCCCCGAAGCCCCAAAGAGGCTCCTAGAGGCCTCAAACGGCCCCAAGAGGCTTCAAACAAACTGCCAGGAGAGCCAAAAGAAGCCCAAAAGCAGAGCCGCGATCCGACAACCGCCCCAGACGAAATCCCAAGAAGCTGAATCCCAAAAGTTCCCCGGAAATCGTTCCGCAAACTCCGTTTTTCACTCTTACTGCTGCCCCGAGGGGTCGGAGGTGCGGCGGCAGCCAACGACTCATGTTCGTGAGGCCCGCGAGCACTTTGCCTTGCTGTTTTGGCAAGGACGGCGGGGGTGTCACCTGCTATGCGCGGGGCGACCATCCCTGACAAAACACCATACCAAATGCACCTCGCGGCTAAAGCTGGATCATGCACGGCCACCTCGCGATCACTGTCAAGTGGTTTTTGACAGGGACGGCGGGGGGAGGCCCATGGCCTGCTTTGCGCAGGCCCACCAGGCGCCATGATGGGCATTGTTTTTCGACAAGGATGGTGGGGGCCGACATGTTTCCTGATCTGTGCTGTCACGTTCGCAGGCGCACCTGACACACTGTGCACGTGCCACGAGCGTGGCGCACCTGACGCGGCTGGAGTATGCGGCACACCTGGCGCACGCGGAGGCACGTAGCGCATCTGGCGCTCCAGACGTGCCTGGCACGCTTGGGCCCCGCGCGTGGCGCGCCTGGCACGCGTGGCGCACCTCGCCCCAGCGTCGCGCACATGGGCTCGGTAGTGGCTCCCAGTAGCTGCCCATCCAAAGACGACCGCTGAACATGCTGAGGCTCGGGTGTCACGTATGTGTTTGGAGGGCAGGTGGGAGTGAGATTGACGGCTTGCTATGTGGAGGGTGTCTTGACCCCTCCCCCGGCCCCCTCCCCTGGTGGACCTGGACGGGGGGTCCCGCGAGGGGGTGGAGCGTCCAAGATGGCCCAAGATGGCTCCAAGAACGCCTCGGAGAGCCACAGATGAGCTCCAAGATGGCTCAAGATATCCCCAGATGCCTCAAGGTGGCTCCCAAGATGCTCCAAGAGACCCCAAGGCCGCTCCAAGATGGCTCCAAGTGGCCAAAGAACTCCCCAAGGAGGCCCCAAAGAGGCCAACATCCGTCCGAAACCCAGGGGGAATCAACGTTTGTTGTGTTTTCGTTTGTTCGCTTGCGTGGCCATCCGAGGCCTCAAGATGGCTGAAAAGATAACCCGAAAGGGCCCCAAGAGAGGTTCAAGAGAGCCCCAAGACGGCCCCAAGAGCGCCCCAAGAACACCCCCAAGAGGCGACGCGTGGAGTTCCCGAGGGCAACGCTGATGAATTAAAGCTCTCCTCTTATTTGATCGATGTCCTCCAAGATGGCCCCAAGAGCGCTCCCAAGGCTCCCAAGCGCGCCTCAAGAGGGCTCCAAGAGGCGCCCAGGAGGCCCCAAGAGGTGCCCAAGAGGCCTCCAAGAGGCTCCCAAGAGACTCCCAAGAGGCTCCCCTGGGCTCCCCGAGACACCCGAGACGCTCCAAAAGGACCCTCTACTACGGCCCCAAGAGCGCCGAAGAGTGTCCCAAGAGCGCTCCAAGAGGGACCCCTCCTCTGTGTGCTGCCCACTTCCCTGATCGAGGCAACTCCTCTGGGCATCATCTCTGGATGGGATGGTGGGGTTACTTTTTTGTCGCGGCCGCAAGCGAAAGCGCAGGAGGCGTTCGAAAAGGTCGGGCGGGCTACGCGCGAGCCTAATTATACAGCGACCGAGCGCGGGATCAGAACCTACCGCCGGGTGGGCAGCTGGCTGGAGCTGAGCTGGGGCACCAGGGGTGGGACTGCAAGCGGTTAGGGCTGCGTGCTGCACACGCGCGAGACCCAGATGGAGCATCAGGGTGAATAGAACCTGTACGCCAGGAGACGTCGTGGTCTGGGCTGTAGGATACCGATCATGCGACAGACCAGCGAGGCTGCACCGCCTGGCGGTCAAAAACCCAGGCCCGCCAGCACGCAGACAGGAGAGCAGAGTCGGAAGGGTGCAAGCACTCTCGGACCCGGTGTGGGTACCATGGGAGCAGATCACCAGGTACGCAACAGGACCTTGTCGCCACCGGGCGCCAGGGGTCAGGGCCACAGACGTGGCGAGGTGCGGGACCACGAAAAGTCCAGCGACAGTGGGCCAACGGGGGATGCGCAGATCCGTACAAGAAGGCTGTACCACTCCTGAGTGAACCGGCGGCTAGATGGTGTTACTTTTTTGGTCGACGGCTCCAAGGCAACGGTCAAGGAGCGGAAGCGGCGTCCGGGATGCGGCACGGTGCGAATTTGCGAACACAGCCGCCAATGTCGGCAAGCCATATGGTGGGGTTACGCGAAGCGTCTCGAATTGCTTGCAGTTCAGGTGTTGGCGTCCCTTGCTGTTCCCATCGTGACTCCTAGAACAACCTCGCGGGCGTGGTTGAATGCCTCAACCACCAACATGCTCTAAGATGGCCCCAGGGGTCCATGATGAAGCTCTCAAATACATCCTGCCCAGACTCTGGGCTGGGATTTCAGGGGGGCGCTGGAGCATTCAATATGGCCTTAGATGGCCCCGACATTGCCCTAGATAGCCCACGGCGTTCCAAGATGCCATCCTGCATGGCTCCGAAAGGGCTCGAAGTGGTCGCGGTGCCGTCCAAGGATGCCGCCCCGAGTCCAAACTCAAAGAAGTAGTACGTAAGTTGAGTTAAACTGTTATGTTTGCAAGCGCGCGTGGGATCTACATATGTATGTGTATACACTCTTCCGAGGAGGCGTCTGCAGAGAATGGGATCTACCGTGGGACGCCGACGGGCAGATGGACTGTGCGTCCCCTTTTGAAGGCGCACGTCCGAACCGAACATGGTGTACCAACATCTCATACTAGATCGTTGCCCATATGTATACTTAGATTTACATATATATATATATATATATAACTAGTACATATAACTGTAGAAATATATCTATATCATGAGATGTCTGAGCGCGCGCGTCGCCCCCTGGGGGGCCGACGCACACATACATGGCAGAAGCACGGTTGGGTGTCGCTAGGAGGGAGAGCTGCGTCAGCTTCCTGGTGCAAGGGGCGCTTCCCGCTCCCGCCAGAGCGCTCCTCAGCCAGATGTCTGCGACGGCATGCTTGCAACGGGATGGCGGCAATGATGCCTCATGGCTCGTTGATGCCCCCCCCTCGCTTTCCACGCAGCCACAGCGCCGACGCCACAATGCTGTCTCTTCAGTTGGCAGATAGCTCCTGGTCGTGCAGGCGCCCCAGGTTCGGGAGCGTTGCTGCTGCGGCCGTGCCACCCCGTGCGCGACGAAAGGAAACGTGATTTGCGCGATATGGCATGGCGACCTTACTCCGCGGCTGACGCGGGCCGCCAGCGCGGCACACCGCGAGGCGGACGAGGGCCCTTACGCGCGACATCACGCGGGCAACTTACGCGCTACGCACGAATGTCCGCGCAATCGACCCTTGTCTTCTGCGTCGCCCAAATGCTCCTCCAGCACGAATCCAAAATCCACCGCTGAGCGAGCGCAGTCCGCAATCCACCGGGTCGTCGTCGCACGTCGTCGTGGTCGTGGTCATCGTCGTCGTCGGCGGCGGCGGCCGCAATGTCGACGGGCGGCGTCCCAATGTCGCACTGCCGCACGCCGCGTCCAGCCGCTCGGCCAGCAGCGGCAGCGCTGCCGAGGGCGGCCTGATCCGAATGTCGGTCTGACCGGCCGTCCCTCTACATTTCAAGAAAGAGTGCTCGTCCACAGTCTCTCTCAGGAGAAACAGCCTACTCGTAGGATCCTTTTGTGGATGGGATGGTGGGGAAACGCGAAGCATGGAATTCAAAACGGGTCGAGGCGATCGGTGATTCGCCCTGTGTTCGAATCGTGGCGCAGAACAGGGCGGCCAGAGGAGCTCGACGAGAGGGGGCGCCGAGGCCACGGTCTGCACGGGGGTGGACAGCGACAGCGATGCCCCTCCCACTTCGCCTTCCTCCTCCTCCTCCTCCTCCTCCTCCACCCCCTTCCGTCCGTCCCTCCTCCTTCCCCTGGGCGAGTGACGGGGCGATGTCCCCAGTGGCCCCGCGGCCACGGCTGGGCCTTGCTGTTTGTGTCGATGGTGATGGGGATGAAGTCGCCCAGGGTGTTGTTCGGGCGCTGGGGCTGCGGCGGCTTCTGATTCTGGTTGGCGCCGAACTCCTGCCGCGCCGGGGCGAAGCGGCGGGGGCGTGACGGCGGCAGCGGCAGCAGTGCGAGCAGCCGCCGACGGATGCGAATTGTCCCTTTCTCCTTCCTCCCTCCATCTCCTTTGCCCCTCACCCTCCCTGGTCCCATTTTCTCCTCAGATTCCGCCTCCTCATACATCTCCTCATGTTCCACGTACACGCTTGATGTAGCGAGGGCGCGGCTGCAGGCAGCAGTGGTCTGGGTGCTTGCTGTGCGCGAGAGGACCGCGCTGGACGCGGCCGACATCAAGACGGCCGCCATGCCTTGGCGGGCAGGGGGCTCGCCTGCCCGCGGAAGCCGAGGCCGACGCCAACTCCCTCGCGTGCTGGTCCGCTCACATGCAGGAGGATGTCTAGCGCCTCGCGGCTGCTCTGGAGGCTTCCGCACCACGACCTCGGCGCCGAGCTCGCTGGCGACTGCTTCGCGGCTTCGGGCGCTTGGGGTGGACTTCACGCCAGGACTGGGCATCGCCTTCACCACGGGGGCGCAGCGGAGTACTTACGCCAGCGGCCCGCTCGTCGCTGACGCCCGCGTGGCGGACTTCTTCAGCTTCGCCGGCAGCACCAACGACTCCTCCCCGTCCCCGTGCGAGGGCGCAGGCAGCCCTGCGAGCGGGAGGCCAGCGGCCGGCAGTCAGCGCGGGCCCGAGGGGCGCGCGGAAGGCGCCGCCTGGGCGCCGTGGCTCTGCCAGCGCCCCGCGGCGTCGAAGGGGGCTCCCTGCTCCTCTAGCGCGGCCTGGAGTGGGCCCGTCAACAGTAGGGACGCCTCTTCCGCGGCCTCGAGGCCCTGCGGGCCACGAGGCTCTGGCGCGGCATCGCCGACGACGATGAGCGTCAGCGGAATTCGGGGGCGTCCATGAGACGGCCTCCAAGAGGGGGAGTCGTAAATCATGGCCCGAGGCATGCGCGCGGATCAGGGAGGGCCGGGGAACGCATTGAAATAAGAAGAGCGGCCCTGCGAAATCTGAGGAGATATCATGGCCCCCGCCATGATGTCCACCGCCCTAAGCATCACCCCCCTCGTGGCCGCCCCCGAGGAATCTGCTCTCGCACGCTGAGCAGGGGAATGGCACCTCCTGCCTTGCCATCCCGCACGGCACGGTGGATGCAGGCTGGCTCGTCGATCTGGCAGGCGGCCTTTACTGAGGCGGTTGGGCACTGCGCTGGCTCCGCCAGGGGCACCTGCTTCCTGCGGCGCGCCGCTGCGATCGAGGACGCTGGCGAGGAAGAACGGGAGTGCGGCGAGGTGATCGGCCAGCGCGCCGCGTAAGGCCTGGGGCGCCCCCAGAGCGCAACGCGGCTGCGGGCCCACACGGGGGAGCCGTGCGCGGCCTGGAGAAGTGCGCATCGGAGGCGCCGTCGTCGACCTCTAGCGGCGGGAGCCTGAGCTCTAAAGACGCGAACGGGCGGCTCCATCCAGGAGGCGGTGATGGACCTCGTCGTCGGGCTCTCGGCCAGCGCCGTGCGCTGGTGGCTCGACCTCAACAGTCTTTCCTGTCCTTTACGATTCGGGCCAATGCGTCTGGCGCACACCCTACCCACTGCATCACTGCGACAGCGCTCCACCCAACAACGTCGCCAATAACACTGCTGGTCGTCGTTCAAAGCTTCGTTTGCGGACGCTGGCCGTCTGGTCGTCGTTCAACGCTTCGTTTGCCGACGCTGGCCTCGTTGCCAGTGCCGCCGCTGCAGCCGGCGGTAGGGCCAAGGCGACGCAATGGTGACAGCAGCGACATCGAGGCGGGCGGCCGCCTGCCGCGCCGACGCCGCGGCGGCGCTCGCCGAGATCGCGGCTGCCTGCCGCGCGACGGACGCGGGGACGCCACGCCGTGGCCGCTCGCAGAGCGCGTCGGCGCCATCGCTGCGCTTTGGACCGCCGACGCCACCGTTGCCGCCCTCGGCTTCTAGCCCGCCGCCCGCTGGTTATATTCAAACTCTGGTGCCAGCATCGCTCACACATCATCCTCTTCTTCTTCTTCTTCTTCTTCTTCTTCATCATCATCATCATCATCATCATCATCATCATCAGCATCATAATCATCATGATCATGATCATGATCATGATCATGATTACGATCATGATAATCATCTTCATCATCATCACAATCATCATCAATATCCTCGTCATCATCATCACAATCATCATCATGACCAGCATCAACATAATCGTCATCATCACCATCATCCTATTCACCGGCATCATCATTATCATCGTCATCGTCATCGTCATCACAATCACCATCGTCATCATCGTCATCATCATCATCAGCATCATCATCATAAGCATCATAATCATACTAAGTATCATCATCAGCAGCAGCCTCATCAGCATCACCATCATCATACCATCAACGCCGTCGTCCTCGTCGTCATTGCGGTCGTCGACGTCGTCGTCGTCCTCATCATCAGCAGCGTCAGCATCAGCATCATCAGCAGCATCATCAGCAGCATCATCAGCAGCATAACCATCATCATCATCATCAGCGTCATCATCATAATCATCATCAGCATTATCATCAGCAGCAGCATCAGCATCAGCATCAGCATCATCCTCAGCGTCATCATCGTAATCATCGTCAACCTCAACATCACCATCATCATCATCATCACCACCAGCACCACTACCACCGTCAAAATCATAATCAGAAGCAGCATCAGCATCATCATCACCACCACCAGCACCTCTACCACCACCATCATCATCATCATCATCATCATCATCATCATCATCATCATCATCATCATCATCACCATCGCCATCATCGTCGTAATCATCAGCGACAGTAAAACCATCATCAACATCATCATCATCATCATCATCATCATCATCATCATCATCATCATCATCATCATCATCGTCGTTGCCGTCACCGTCGTCGTCATCATCAGCATCATCAACATCATCATTGGTCCCACCACAATCACCACTGTCATCATCATCAGCATCATCATCATCAGCAGCAACAGCATCATCATCATCGTCGGCATTGTCATCGTCATCGTCGTCATCATCAACGTCACACTCATCAACATCATCCGCATCATCACCATCACCATCAGCATCAGCATCAGCGTCATTTTCAGCGTCCTCGTCACCATCATGTATCACCATCATGTATCACCATCACCATCATCATCATCATCAGCAGCAGCAGCATCATCAGCAGCATCAGCATCATCATCAACAACAACGTCATCAACAGCAGCAGCAGCAGCATCCCTCTTCTCCGTCCTCACTCCTCCCAATGAAGCAGTTCTCGCCGCTCGTCGCTGCCCTCCTCGTCATCCTCCCACATTCCCCTCCTCCTCATCCGCACTATCCGAGTATACCGCTGGTTTTCATCCTCCTGCTCCTCCCCTCCTCCTCCTCCAACTCCTCTTCACCATCATCATCCTCATCCTCCTATCCTTATTCCTCACTAGAATATACTCTCACTCCCCTCTCTGGCCAGCCGATTGGGGTTCCATCCGGGCCCTCCCATCCCAACTGTACAAAGCAAATACAAAGTCGTCGTTTGTTCTCTCAACATGGCCTTCCTTGTCGTCGACGATGCGAGATGCGTAGCAGGAATAGGACGCGGCGCACATCGCGCGCGGCCGTCAATTGGGCCCTCCCATCCTAACTGTTAAAAACTGATACAATGTCGTAGGTTTTCTCTAAACATGGCCTTTCTTGTCGTCGACGGTGCGAGATGCGCAGCAGGAATGGGACGCGGCGCACATCGCGCGCGGGCGTCTAGGGCAACCCCAAGCGGGAGGGGCCATCCTGCCTGCCAGAAAACCATACAAAGTCGACATGCTTCTTCGCAGTGGGGATTTTCTTGTCGCCGGCTTTGCACAATGCGTGGCAGGAAGGGGGCGCGGTGCACATCGCGCGCGACAGGGCGAAATGTCGCTCTCGCCTCGGCGCCGCGCATATGTTTTCTGAAAGTTGCGCTCCCGCTAGGGCGCGGCGCACACTTTTCGCTCGCCAATTCGTCGAGCGCCTGGGGCCCCCTGGAGCCTCCCAGGGTCTCCTGGGACATCCTGGGGTTTCCCGGGGTTTCCCCAGGGCCTCGTGGATCCTCCTGGAGCCTCATGAGGCATCCTGGGGCTTCCTGGGATTCCCTGGGGGCTTGCTGACACGTCCTGAGGCTTCCTGAAGCCTCCTGGAATTACCCCTGGGCCCTCCTGAAGCCTCCTGGGGTCGCTGGAGCTTCTCCTGAGACCTCCTGGGGCATCCTGAGGCTTCCTGGGGCCTCCTCGGCTCGTGCTGAAATGCCAGCGCAGTCTTTGAGATGCGCCAGGGATTTGTTATCGGTAACCACCATCGCGGCTGCATCAGCTGTGGCAAACCACCTTGCCGATCTGATTTCGATCCCCAGTTGCGCCAGCACTGTTTTTTTATGTTGTGGGAGGGCGGGAGGGAATGGGCATGCCATGCTTGACTCCCTCGAGCTGGCTAGCTTGACTCCTACTCCTACTTCTCCTTCTCCTCTTGCTCCTGTTCCTCCTGCTCCTCCTTCTCCTCTTCCTCATCTGCCGACTCGCCCCCCCCCCCTGGCGGCCTTCTCATACTGTTTTTTCAGCGCCTTCCCCAGGCTCTCCCACTGCTGCTCGTCGCTTTGCGCCATGTGCGACGGGCAGCAATAATTCACGAAGTCGAGGTAGAAATGGTACACCGACCTGGCTGGCGCTGTTTGCAGTCAAGCACAAGCATGAAGGTTCGGGTGCCCCACAGAGGGGGGCCAGGAAGGGAAGCTAGCGCATCATGGCCCGAGGCATGTGCGCGGACGAGGGAGGCCAGGGAACGTATCGAAAGAAGAGGGGTCACACAATTTGGGAGGTGCCGCTGCCTCGACCATGATATATATCTATATATATATATATATATATATACTAGAACCACGCGCGCGCTTCGCGCGCGCTTAGGTTCTGTCGAGTCACAGACCCAGGAATCGTTGTGAGAAGAAATTGGTGACGCGAAGCGTCGTGGGGGCGTCCTTGGACGTCTGGGGTCTCCTGGGGCCTCTTGAGGGGCCTCCTGGGGGCCTCCTGGCGGCCTCTTGGGGCGGAAGGCTCGAGCTTGCGGTTCGTGGTCCCCCTCTGGGCCCCCTCTTGGGCCCGTCTTGGGGCCCTCTTGGGCCATCTTGGGCGCCTCTTGGGCCGTCTTGGGGCCCTCTTGGGCTGTCCTGGGGCCCTCTTGGAAGCTTCTTGGGCCGTCTTGGGGCGGTCTTGGGCGCCTCTTGGGCCGTCCTGTAACGTCGGAAAGCCCAAAAGACAACTTTGTTGAAAATGTACGTTTTACGAAGGGAATGGGCAAATTTTTGCGTCTAGGGGCCCTCTTGGGACGCATGTTGGAGGCTTCTTGGGGCCTCTTGGGGGCGTCCTTGGACGTCTGGGGTCTCCTGGGGCCTCTTGAGGGGCCTCCTGGGGGCCTCCTGGCGGCCTCTTGGGGCGGAAGGCTCGAGCTTGCGGTTCGTGGTCCCCCTCTGGGCCCCCTCTTGGGCCCGTCTTGGGGCCCTCTTGGGCCATCTTGGGCGCCTCTTGGGCCGTCTTGGGGCCCTCTTGGGCTGTCCTGGGGCCCTCTTGGAAGCTTCTTGGGCCGTCTTGGGGCGGTCTTGGGCGCCTCTTGGGCCGTCCTGTAACGTCGGAAAGCCCAAAAGACAACTTTGTTGAAAATGTACGTTTTACGAAGGGAATGGGCCAATTTTGCGTCTAGGGGCCCTCTTGGGACGCATGTTGGAGGCTTCTTGGGGCCTCTTGGGGGCCTCCTTGGACGTCTGGAGGCCATCTTCAGCATCTCGGAGCCCTCTTGGAGGCCTCTTGGAAGTTTCTTGGGCCGTCTTGGGCGCTTCTTGGGCCGTCTTGTCTGACCGGGGAGGCCTCCGGCAAGCCCCGACGAGCCTCCGGGCCCCCCGGGGCGCACATTTGTGGTCGAGGTCCCGGCCCCGGGCCCCCGGACCCGGTGCGCCGTTATATGTGTGTATATATATATAATACTAGAACCATCGCGCGCGCTTCGCACGCGGTCAAGTTCTAGCTAGGGTCATGATCATCGTTATCACTGTCATCCTCATCCCCGTCATCTTCATCGTCATCGTCATGGTCATGGCCGCCTTCACCATCAAAACAATCATCAATATCACCATTATCAACAGCATCGTGATCACCTCATCGTCATCGTACGTTTCAGCATCATCATCCACATCATCAACATCTTGTTGGTCGTCGTCGGCGTCGTCGGTGTCGTCGTCGGCACAATCATCGTCGTCATCATCATCATCATCATCATCATCATCATCATCATCATCATCATCATCAGCATCATCAGCGTCATCGTCGCCATGATCCCAGGTCTACTGCAATCCCCTTACCCTCCTCCTCTTCCCATTATCCCTCCTCCCATCATCTTATATGCATCCTCTTCCTCGTCGGCGTTTCCCTGAAAGGGATCCCTGTTCCTTCACCTCCTCCTCCTCTTCTTCTTTCTCCTCCTTCTCCTCCTCCTCCTCTTCCTCCTCCTCCTCCTCCTCAGTTTTCCCCACTCTTCGGTTTGTCCCTCCTGGTGTTCCTTCACCTACTTCACCTCCTTCCTCCTCTCGAGCCCTCTTCATCCTGCGCTCCCCTTCCCTCCTCGTCCTCAGCATCCCTCCCCGAGCCAGAGAATCAGACAACAAGATAATATTACAAGAACAATGTCCCTCCTCCTCTTCCCCCTCGTCTTCCCCCTCTTCGTCCTCCTGATCTTCCTCCCCCTCCTCCTACTCCTCCTCCTCCTCCTCCTCCTCCTCCTCCCCCTCCTCCTCCTCCTCCTCCCCCTCCTCCCGCTCCTCCTGCTCCTCCTCCTCCTCCTCCTCCTCCTCCTCCCTCCTCCTCCTCCTCATCATCATCATCGTCCTCCTCCTTATCCTCCTATTCCTCCTCCTCCTCTCCCACCTCCTCCTCCTCCTCCTCCTCCTCCTCCTCTTTCTCCTCTCCCACCTCCTCCTCCTCCTCTTTCTCCTCCTTGTCCTCCTCCTTGTCCTCCTCCTCCTCCTCCTCCTCCTCCTCCTCCTCCTCCTCCTCCTCCTCCCCCTCCTCCTCCTGCGACGAGTGGAAGGAGGTATGGGAGGGGCCTGGTAAGGAAGGAGGTATGTCAGCGGTATTATTGGATTGGGAGCAGTTGAGGAGCACGCGGGAGGAGGAGACGTACGAGGAGGTAAGGGACCCAGAGATTGGCGAGTTGGTCGATTTAGACATTCAGGCTATGCGACGCTATGTTAGACGGGCCCCCAAAAGACGTACCGTGCCAAATGGTACTATGCCCTTGGAACTGTGGCACATGCTGTTTCACCCAAACTGGCGTCTTCGAAGTCGAGCGGGTCTCGGGACGGAAAAGAAGAGTCTGTCGGTGAATATCTTCTGGGACGTTTTACGGACCGGGTTGGAAGGTCCGTGCGTATTGTGCATCGCCATTATATTGGCATCTGTCCCAGGGATCCGCGTTGCACAAAAACATGCAGCACGGCCCGAAGGGAAAAAGGGTGGTCCACGTGTTACCGGTCGCGGGCAAAGCGTTCTTCGCCTCTCGGGTCCGCGGCCGGACCACCCTGCACGACCATGGCTTCGTGAAAGGCCGGCGTCGTGAAAATCCGATCCTGGTTGCCCAGGTTGTGAGCCACAGGTTGCGCCAGATCCGCAGGACCCACTGTATGACCCTGAAAGACATAACAAATGCCTTCGCCAGTATTTCGTGGGACTCCATGGATGTGAGCATGAAGGTGCATGTGCGGCCCGAGGACACGGAGTTACGCAAGCAGCGTTACAGGTTGTCCGCCGTAAAACTTACAGGCAACGACGGCTCGATTATAGTTAAGACGCAAGAGGGAGGAGTCATGGGTGATCCCTTTGTGGTTAGTACCTTTTCTGCAGACAGTTTCACGACCTACTTTGAAATGGAGTGGGGACTTGCTGGACGTTGACCCCGCGGCGAGGGCCTTGAAGGGACGTTGGGGGGACCTCTTGACGGATTTGTCCATTGTTAAGGTACGCGGATGATCTGAACAAGTTTGTGATCGCTGAAGAGGGCATGACATTTCCCGAGTTCCGTGAAAAGCTTTCGGGGGTCGGCCTGCTGCTCAACCGTTGCCTCTCCGACTTCGGTTTGGCTCAGAACCTCGCGAAACAGGAGTTATTGTTCTATTTCTCGGGGAAGGGGCGCAGTACTTTCGTAGGCTTTTGAGGGGTCCTCGGCGTTTTGGTCTTCACGGAGCGCCCAAAGAAGATGCTCGATACCTTGGCCCGCATGTGGCTTTGAAAGATTGCGCCCATCTAGAAGTCACTAGGAGGTGTGCCGCGGCCCGCAAGGCTTTCTACTCACTGGGAGGGATTCAGTCCCTTCCCATTGTCCGACGGCACAAACGCTCGCTTCTACACGGACTGGTGCAGAACGCTCTTCTCTCAGCTCTGGAATCTTTGGATTTGTCCTCTCGGGATTATCAAGTGTTGGATGCCTGTCTAGCAGGAGTTGCGCGCGTTGTAATGCAGGGGGCGGCTGCGGACTGGGAGGGGGGCCTCGTAAAGAGCATGAGTAGTAAGCAGGTCTTGGACAATTGCTCGTGCGCAGGCTGCGTCTGTACTTAAGTTGGTCCGCCGACCCCGTGAGGGCCTCTCAGGTCTTGGTGGCGCTGTTTGGGACTCTTGAGATTGATTCTGGTCGTCCGCCGCGCTTAGGAGGCACCCTTACTCAGCATGCTTCGCCGCGGGCGCGACAAGTCGTTGAGGACCTAGAGCTGGCAGCCCGTATTCTAGATGAGCAATGCGTGGAGGATGCTGCGAGGGACCTGCGGATCCTCGCGAGCAGTGGTCGGAGCGAGGAGTTCCGCATGATCGATACGACGCAGTTGCGGATCAGAGAGTTCTCTTTCGCGGTTCCTCCGCCTCCCTGCTTGGGGGGCCCTGTCGTCAGTGGTCGGCTCGTTCCCTCACATATTCCTGAGTCTCCCGATGGCCCTCAGCTTGCCTGTCATATTGTCGGATGTCCGAGCAGGTTCCACACTTGCAAACAATTGTTGAATCACATCAGATTTGCACATCACCAACGGAACGTTGCGGCTGTTCTTACTCCTACGAACGTTTGTATATGTTGCAGGGCTGTATTCCGTGATCGTTGGTGCGCAGGCCGTCACTCACAGACAGCGGTGATTAAGGGGGTATGTCCTGGCGGAGGGGGCCGCGCGCTTCTTCCAGTGCGTCAACCTGCTTCCTTCGCTTACCGATTGTGCGATTCGGAACTGGGCGATCTGGACAGTCTCTGTAGCCATCTGGTTCAGCACCGTCTGCCAGTTTCCATATCCACGCGGGCTGCAGAGCGGCAGAGTACTGATGCCACCCGCCCTGGGCAGCGTGGAACTACCCCTTCCAGCGCGGTTCAAGGGCCGCAAGAAGCGCCGCACGGAGGAGGGCGAAGATGCGGCAGAGGACGGGGACAAGGACAAGGGCGACAAGAAGACCTCAGGCGGGGGCAAGGGCTCCAGCAGCAACACCTCCAAGCTCGTGAACGCCATGGGTCGGCTGATCGTCGCGATGGACCGCGACCTGGAGGAGCTCAAGTCGGCCGTCTACGAGCGCGCGGTGCTGCCCGCGGACAACGAGCTCGCGGAGGCGTCGACTCGCGCGGGCAAGGAGCACAACGTCAACAGCAA